AAAAACCCAACAATCATATGACCCCCTATGAGCAAGCACTTTGGCGACAGTGGGAAGGAAAAACTCCCTTTTAACAGGAAGAAACCTGCGGCAGAACCAGGCTCAGGGAGGAGTGGCCATCTGCTGCTACTGGTTGGGGTGGAACAACATGGAGGAGGTGGAAGAGGGACTCACAGGAGATAAAGCTGATATCTCCTCACAAAGTGTACAATGTTTTTTAAGAAGCAGCAGTGGTGCCACACAAACACACTCTTCTGGCTGCTCTGCAGATTCGGCTGCCTGTGACTTTGCCCTCTTTGCAAACTTAAATTCAAGTTGACATTCAGTGTTTCGACACAGTGACGGAGTTCCAGCAAGCATCTCAAATCTTTAATGCACGGTCAGAAAAGAACCTCCAGGAAGTGTCCTTAAATCAATGAATTGGTCCGGAGAACACTAGCAGATGACCTCAGAGGGCAGGTGGGGTAAACTTAACACACTGTGTGTAACACAGGAACACACAGCAACGGTTTGAAAGCTGACAGATTGCACTGTAACGGTTCTTGGAAAAAGAGCCGAGAGCAGAGAGAAAACCCGGAGCGTCTGTTTTTAAAAAAAATCAGGCTCCGCCTTCACCTGCACAGCGGTTGTCATTAAAAGAAGCTGCTCTGAGCTCCAACGCTCACCTGAAGGAGTCAGCCTCGGCATCATGGCTGTTGTCGTGGGTGTAGCAGACTCGGTGCGCGGCCACGTCCAGCTGGGTGAAGCTGAGTAGCGGGACTCCAGGCCTGTGGACGGCGTGGACGAGGCCGTGACGCGGCGGGTCAGACACCGTGTAGACCAGCTCCTCGGGCCGGCCAGTCGAGTCTGATGCCAGCAGGATGTCAGTGTTCAGGACGACACGCTGCCCCTCCCTCAGGTGCACCGGCCTGCTCAGCACCACGACGTCCCCTGGAGGCAGTCAGAGGGAGCGTTCAGGTGTCAGAGGGGACCGAGCGATTGCCTACATAATACATGTGACAGTCGGGGCCCAAGTTCAACTTTTCAACTAAAAAGCACCCAGAGGAGGTGAGGCGGCGCCCTCCACAGCTGCTCCACCTCCCCGCCATTAATTATTTAGCAGCCGAGGAGGTCGGCCATTTCTCACCTCTCTGTTCCTCCAGGATCACAGGGCGCCAAGCCAGAAGGGCCGCGGACCCACGGCAGCGTGTTCATCCGACTGGTAAAACCGGCAGGAAGGGGGCGCGCTCAATAATGAATGAAGCAGGGCCACACAGGGCCCTGTGTGTGTGTGTGTGTGTTTGAGTGAGTCTGTGTGTGTGTGAGTGTGTGTGAGTGCGAGAAAACATGAAATAAAATCATGACCTGGATAAAAGTGTTACTGCTGAATTCTCCGCATTAAAACTCTGTGACCTCTGACCTTTCTGCACCACGTGCACAGAGATGAAGAAGATCTGAGCCGGAGACTCGTTGTCCAGGTCGCTGAGGGTGAAGCGGAAGCTGTCGTGACCTTTAAAGCCGGCTGCGTTGGTGGCGGCGGTGTGTTGGTACCACAGTCGGTTCATCTCCACGTCGCCCTGTGTGAAGTTCTGACCCGCCGTCAGCTCGTTCCACCCTGACGTCGTCTGCGGGCGAGACGCTCAGATCAGGAAGAGACGCGGCAGGAAGACGAGTCACCTTCAACGTCTCACATCAGCCTCAGGTCACAATTTAATCAGGAGGATTTAACACCTGCACAAACACACCTGACTTCCTGTTTCTGCCACTTCCCCTCCCATCCTTCATTCCTCTCGTCCCTTT